AGAATGGATGAGAGGGCATCACTACTAATTTCTTAGGACATAGAAGAAGGGACAGCCCCTGCAGTTCAGCAAAAAGCTGAGGAAATAATGGGACATTGGTTTATGTTTTTATCAATACAAGCACAAGGTGTGGGATGCCTAAAAGCTGGAATCTGTGCTTTTTGTTTATGAGTTCAGACCCCTCTCTCCCTTTTGGAGTCTCCCCCCTCCCTTTTCTATATCTTTAATTTTTTTTTATTTTCATAATTTTTATGTTTTTTGTTTTTTTTTTAATTAATTACAGACCAGAACCCCTCTTTCCCTTTTTGATTATTCTCCTCTCTTTTCTGTAACTTTTCTTTTTTCCCTCTTTTTCTGATCTTTCCCTTAGTTTGTCCCTTCCTTGTCCTTTTATGGAGCACAAGGAGTGGTATTGTTCATTCATTGCTTTATTCGCACCTTGCGTGATTGGTGTTTGTATTGTTTGATTTCAGAGCTCATGCTTTGACATGTCTCAGTTGGTAGTTTTCTATTTTCAACGCACTTTATTATTTTACCTCATTATTACTATATGTCATTCCACTACCAGCTGTAATGTATAGCATCTGACTGCTGTACTTCACGTAATTGTTCCCTTTTTTTTTCTTTTTAAAAAAAAATGTTAATAATAAACATATTTTTAACCCTAATGTCAGAACATTGTTGTTTGATCAGTCTTGTTTTTTTTCTCTCTTTAAGATAAATGTGTGAATAGATAACATAATGTGTATGCAAAATATTTTTCAACAATAGATAATAGGTGTGTCATTCCACCTATATGTTGGTATATATCCATATACATAAAACATAAATATGGCACCTCCAGCCAAAAATAATATAAAACTAGCAAGATAAAAATTATTTGCCAATTAAAGGCTAATTTCACCTTTTGCACAAGCATTTTTATGTATGAAATAAAATCTTTGGTATTCTCTTTTTTTGCTCAAGCCACTCCTGTTTTATTATATCTCACATACCTTGACTGCGTTGAATCTGCATCTGATCAGCTCTTAATTTCAAAATATGCACTGGGCTACCTGTATCATGCATCCTGTCTACATGACAGTCTAATGAGAGCAGAGCCTGCACAGGAACTAAAATTTCCATAATTCCATGGTGGGAGGGAGATGTGGATTTGTGTCTCTCATCAATGAACGCGAGAAGCAGAGGTCTTCAGGATTCTGCCAACATTCAGGCCTTCCTGAATTTTGCACACCATGCCTGACTAGCTACTATTAAAATGTTACTAAACCCAGGACCCTGCATTCACTATATCTGGTCTCCCACAGTACACATAACATGGAAATGCAGTTATTTTTGTGAATATAAAATGCTAAATACTTTTTCCCATCAGCAGTATATAGCAGTCTTTTGATTTCTATCATTGTCCGGATGAGCACTGGTTAAAGCTTGAAAGAGGAGTTTTCATTCTGCTCTGACTGTCCTGTGAGGCTGCATAATCCCTGACCCCCTGTCTGTACAGTGCTGATTGGCCCTGTGATGATCACATGCACCCTCTCAAAGAAAAAGAAAAAGCTTTTTAGCAATACACACTAAACTGAACATGTGCAGAGTGACTCCTAGGGCTCTGTACTATTAGGGACAGTAGAAGAAGGGGAGGATCATAGAATACAGAATCAAACAGCCTTTTTACACAATGTGGAGGATTAACTTCTTAGGTTCCACAGTGAGTATAACAAGCATGCTTTACTGCGTATACAGACAGATATTACTGTTGTGGGTTTAGTAACACATTAAGGCATTTTTGAACACAAGGCAACTGATGGATATGATAGGCCTTGTTTAGGACTTGCTTTGACAACCCTGGAAAAGAAATACTATGTTATTTTGCTAGTGCATTGTTAGGATGTAAATGACCGCAATTAACCACTTGCCCTCCACGTTATTTTTTACTTTTGGCCATACAAAATATATAGTAAACTTAAAGTCAGTCATAAATTTAGGCCAAAATGTATTCTGCTACATGTCCTTGGTAAAAAAAAAAAAATCCCAGTAAGTGTATATTGATTGCTTTGTGTGAAAGTTATAGCATCTACAAACTATGGTATAGATACTGAAATTTACACCATTTTTTTGCTATACAGCGCTATGCTAGTTTACCTGACAATTGCACAGTCATGCAGTGCTGTACATAAATTAAATTTATGTCCTTTTTTTCACACAAATAGAGCTTTCTTTCAGTGGTATTTGATCACCTGTGTGCTTTTTATTTTTTGAGCTATAAACAAAAAAAGACTGATAATTTTGAAACACAAAACAATACTTTCGGCTATAAAAAAAATATATAGTAAACTCAAAATTAGTTATATCTAGGGCAAAATGTATTCTGCTACATGTCTTTGTTAAAAAAAATCTTAATTAGTGTATAATGGTTGCTTTGTGTGAAAGTTATAGCAGCTAACAAACTATGGTATAGATAATGGAATATACACAGCTTTTACTTTCACATTTCTTGAGGTGCTAAACACCCCCAAATGACCCCTTTTCAGAAATTAGACACCGTAAGCTATCTGTTGAGAGGCATGTTGAGTCCATGGAAGATTTATTTTTTTCACAATGTTTTGAAAATGACGAAAACTTTTTTTTTTTTTACACAAAGTTGTCATTTAAATGATATATTGCTCACAAAAGCCATGGGTATATGTGGAATTACACCCCAAAATACATTCTTCTACTTCTACCGAGCATGGGGATACCACATGTGTGAGACTCTGTGGGAGCCTAGCCACATACAGGAGCCTGAAATCCAATTACCACTTTGAAAGCCTGAAGGTGCATTACTTCCTCATTTCACTTCCTCACTACCTATCACAGTTTCGGAGGCCCTGAAATGCCAGGATAGCACCAACCCCCCCCCCCCCATGACCCCTTTTTGAAAAGTAGACACCCCAAGGAATTTAAAAAGAGGCATGGTGAATATTTTTCAGATCTCATTTTTTCTCGCAAGGTTTTGAAATATAAAAAAATGAAAAGAAACATATGTTTTGTTTGCTTTCTTCATTCTGCAAAATACTCGCCATGCTTCTTATCAAATTCCTTGGGGTGTGTACTTTACAAAAAGTGGTCATTGGGGAAGGGGGGGGGGGTTGGTGCTATCTTGGCATTTCAGGGTCTCCAAAACTGTAATAGGTAGTCAGGAAGTGTAATGAGGAAATATAGCCCTTTAAAAGCCTGAAGGTGCTTATTGGATTTTGGGGTCCTGCACTTGGCTAGACTGCCACAAAGTCTCTCATATGTGGCATCTCCATACTCAGGAAAAGTAGCAGAATGTATTTTGGGGAGTAATTCTACATATACCCATGGCATATGTGAGCAATAAATCATTTAAATGACAATTTTGTGTAAACAAATAATTTTTTTTTTGTCATTTTCCGAAACGTGGTAAAAAAATAAATTCTTCTATTGACTCAACATGCCTCTCAGCAAATAGTTTGGGGTGTCTACTTTCCAAAAAGGGGTCATTTTGGGGGGTGGAGGCATTTTATGCCCAGCATTAGAAGTTTATTTTTGTTCACATGAAAAGAATCAGTATTTTTGCTAGGAAATTAATTTGAACCCCCAAACATTCAAACACACATTAAAAAAAAAAAAATACACTTTTTAAATTTAATCCACAAAAACACAATATATTGGCTAATTATTTGGTAGTATATAAAAGACAATGCTATGCCAAATAAATAGATACCAAACATGGCATGCTGTAAAACTATGCATGCCCTGTGCAATGGCGACAAACTGCATACATTTTTAATATCCATAGGCAATGCTTTAAAAGCCTTTACAAGCTACCATTTTAGATCTACAGAGCAGGTCTAGTGCTAGAATTACTGCTCTTGATCTGACATTCGCGGCGATACCTCACATGCATGGTGCAACTACTGTTTACATACTGGCATGGGGTCAACGCCATGTTATTATAAAAAGTTATTTATTTATTTTTATTATTGTTTTTACACTATCCCTTTCTCTTTTTTTTTTGTTTGATCACTTTTAATGCTATCACAGGGAATGCAAATATCCCCTATAACTTCAATGGGCATTATCATATGTTTTTTTTCAGAAATCAGACCGGTGGTCTATCAGACTCTAGATATCTCCTCTCCCCTTACATTATCTAATCTCACCAAGATCTCTGTGATCAGATGCTTTCCCAATTTACAAATGGCGCTGTTTATATCCTGCAAAACTGCAGTGATGAAATGCTCGTAACTTCAGGTTTCTTAGACTATAGAGATGATTGGCACCATTCCAGTCTCCAATAGCTCTATGGTCAGCTGGCAGACACACCGGCTGAATTCTCAGTTTCCCCCGATGGCACAGGACTGCCCAAGTGGAAGGCAGTGGGGGAGGGGGGGGCATCTTCTCCCACTGCTTGTAAAAGCAATTCTGCAGCTAATTAGCCACTAGGATTGCTTTCACATGAAAGCCCATCACCAGCTGAAAAAAACGATACCAGGATTATGCCTGCAGCTGAAGGCATCATCCTGGTATAACCACTCAAAGTCCAGTGATGTACCAGTACGTCTGTCAGGGCTCCAGGTATGACCAGAGATGTGTGGACTGACACAGGGAAACGCAGGCTTCAGGTATAGTATAAACAATACAATTTATTAAAGACTAAACAATACATAAACGCAGTGTAAGACTAAACATAAACACAGTGCAAACAAACCAAACCTCCAACAGATAACAATAAGAACAATACTAAACGTAGTCAGGCAGGCCGGGTCGGTAGCAAACGGGCAGGCAAGGTTCAAGGAGCAGGTGGAAGAGTAGTCAGGAATAGCCGAGGTCGGTACAGGCAGAGTTTGTGCAGAGTCAGGATTCAAGCAGGCAGGATCAGGATACAGGGGCCAAGGGAAACTATACACCAAGGCCCTGACTGCAGGCCTGGCTACTCCTTATATACACCTCCTGCAATCAGCCTCAGGTGATGACTTGATTGCAGGAGTGAGCTTCTGGCTGCTGAGAGCACCCGCTGGCCAGCCCTGGTACTGCAGCCCACACGGCAGGTGAGTCCCACCACCAGTGGTGAGTCCATTCCTGACAGTACCCCCCCTCAAGGAGCGGCCTCAGGACACTCCAAAACATTCCTTAGTGGGCAAAATGTTCCACCGCCTGGGTCAGGTAATTGGCTGGATATCAGGGGCTGGCACATCAGGCTGGGCAGCGGACAGAGGCACATCAGGTTGGGCAGCGGACAGAGGCACATCAGGCTGGGCAGCGGACAGAGGCACATCAGGCTGGGCAGCGGACAGAGGCAAATCAGGCTGGACAGCGGACAGAGGCACATCAGGCTGGGCAGTGGACAGAGGCACATCAGGCTGGGCAGCGGGCACCGGGCCATCAGGCGAGGCAGCGGGCACCGGCCATCAGGCGAGGCAGCGGGCACCGAGGCATCAGGCATGACAGCGGGCACCGAGTCATCTGGCAAGACAGCGGGCACCGAGCATCTGGCAGGACAGCGGGCACCGAGTCATCTGGTAGAACAGCGGGCACCGAGTCATCTGGCACGACAGCGGGCACCGAGTCATCTGGCACGACAGCGGGCACCAAGCCATCTAGCAGAACCGTGTGCACCGGGTCACAAAGCTCAACAGCGGGCACTGAGTCATCTGGCTGGACAGCGGGCACAAGTCATCTGGTAGGACAGCGGGCACCGAGTCATTTGGCAGGACAGCGGGCACCAAGGCATCTGGTAGAACAGCGGGCACCGAGTCATCTGGCACGACAGCGGGCACCGGGTCACCAAGCTCGACAGCGGGCACCGAGTCACCAGGACGGACCATGGGCACTGAGGCACCAGGCCGGACCACGGGCACGAGGCACCAGGCCGGACCACGGGCACCTAGGCACCAGGCCGGATTACGGGCTCCGGGGCACCAGGCCGGACCAGGTCATCAGGCTGGATCAGGTCATCAGGCTGGATCACGGGCACCGGGTCATCAGGCTGGATCGGGCCATCAAGCTGGGTAGCGGGCACCAGGTCATCAAGCTGGATAGGATCATCAGGCTGGGTAGGATCATCAGGCTGGATCGGGTCATCAGACTGGGTAGGATCATCAGGCTGGATCGGGTCATCAGGCTGGGTAGGATCATCAGGCTGGATCGGGTCATCAGGCCAGATCGGGTCATTAGGCTCGGTAGCCTACACTGGGTCATCAGGCATCAGGGCAGCAGGCTGAACAACGGAAGGTGGGTTCTCAGACAGCAGGCTGACCGGTTTGGATACTGGTAAGATGGTACTGGTTGGAAAGAATTTTCGCTTCTTCTTGGGTTTAGTTACTGGGGCACTGCAAGTAAATCCTGTTTGTCCTTCCACTTCACTGCGAGCAATTCCTCGTTTCTCAAGCAGGCTTTTCCACCTTTCTAAGATGGGTATTTACAAGCCGTTGGGGTAAGCCCCGTTATTAGGTTGAATGGTGCCACATGCGCCAATTCCAAGATTGTACAAATGTTCAAATAGTGGCACGCTTGAATAAAAATTGTCCGCGTATAAGTGGTACCCCATATGGAAAAAGGATGACATCAAGTCCCAAACTATCTTGCCACTGCTTCCCATGTAGTCTTGGCATCCGGGGGGCTCCACGTGACTTTTCCCTCGTAAATCCGAAACTTATATATATATGTATAGCCTGTTTCCCTCTCACAGGTCTTATATATCTTGACCCCATACCCGGCATGCTTACTGGGGAGAAATTGTTTGAATGCAAATTGGCCAGAAAAATTAATGAGAGACTCATCAACGCAGATGTTTTGCTGGGGAGTATAGATATCTGCAAATTTTTGGTTAAGGTGATTTACGAGGGGCTGAATTTTGTGGAACCAGTCATGTTCAGGGTTACCCCGAGGACGACAGAGTGTATGCATAAAATGCATTATACTCTCATATCTATGCCTGGCCATGGCAGCAGAGAATATGGGCATATGATGAATCGGGTCTGCGGACCAATACAACCGTAATTCATTCTTTTTAGTAATGCCCATGTTGAGGATTAGGCCCAAAAAACTTTCAATTCGGAAACTGTAATGGGTTTCCATGCGAATGGTCTAGCAAGGTTTGAATATGGGTTGCAGGGATAAACTTTTGTGCATATAAATTGCTTTGATCCACAATCAATGCATACAGATCTTCCATAAAAAACAACTCCAAAAAATCAAGGGGAGTATTTAAATTTGCTGTTTCCATCTGAATTCTGGATTGGGCAGTGAATGGGGGAAGTACGGGTGCTGCAGAATTTGTGGGTTGCCAATCGGGATTTGCAAGCTCTACAGGCCTGTGTGTGAATTCTTGGTGGCTGCGGGACACTACTTGTGCTCACCACCGCACCAGCTTGTACTGCACTTATTGGACTCGCCACGTCACCAAGTGATACTGCAGTGCTGGTATGTGAAACACCAGGACATACTAGCCGCTGGTGCTTGCCAGTTTACCTAAAGGTAGAGCGGCACTAGTACTGGCACTCTGCTGCATATTGGAGTCATCATGCATTTGTAACATCTCAGCAATCTGGGAATGGGGTTGGGTATGCCTGATATTAGCAGGGACCTCTTCTCCATCGTTTGAGCTATCTGTCAGGGTGCTGATCAGCTGTTTACAGGTTTGTATTCTGAGGCTGATTGTGTCGGCGAGTCCCCTTTGCTCTCACCTGACATGCTCAGAATCCTGTAGAGAACTGGAAAAACAGTGGTGAGCTCATGATTAACTGTTCACATGTTTCTACCTGGAGTGGCCTCTCTCTGCATTTGTATGAGTTTTCCTTTCAGAATCCTGTAGGCCTATTCAATAGAGTACATTTCCATTGACATTCTGGCCACTAAATTTATAGGTACTTAGTGCGACTCATGGGGAAAAAGAGTACCTGTCTATCAGGGGCTGCTTGAACCGCTACAAAAAAACTGCGTGTTTGGGGACACTATACTAATGTGAACACTGGTATACTTCTGATCGTATCAAATATATTGATCCGGTCAGACACTATAATAGCAATTAGGTTTATTGTGTATGTGGGCATGTTCCTGGCAATCAAGAGGTTAAATGTGATTACTGGTGTACTAACGGGAAATCTGAAACTATCTGGGAGGAGCACTAACTGATGCTAATGCTATCTGAAGTCGTCTGCGACATTATAACAGTGATCAGCAAAAAAATCTGTACACTGTACTAATGATACTGGTGACAGGGCAGTGAAGGGGTTAAATGTGTCCTAGAGTGTTCTAACTGTAATTGTGTAGTGCTTGTACTCACAATTCTGTTGGTTTGTCTCTCTCTCGGATGGAATGTGCCCAGAGAGAGAAGATGTCATCGCTTCCTGTACCTTGATAACTGTCAACACAGGACAGGATAGGACAGGATCGATCATCCGACTTAGGCATCGCTGGCCTAAATCAGATGATTAATCCCTCGGGGATCAAATCATTGCACCTGTGGGTCGGCGGGAGCGCGCACCCCGGCCCGCGAAAACCGCGGGAAAGTGAATTATTTATATATACATAATTTTGCGCACCTGTGCCGCCGTATGGCAGTTTTTCTGCTATACAGTGGGGGGTAAGCTGTTAAAAGGTAAGTTCAACATTTATAAGGTAAAATAACAAAGCCAGCCTTTGCAGCAATATTTGCCTTCAATCCAGAAGAGATTTCCTCCTGCGGTATTTTATCCTGTCATTAAATGTCCACAATCTGATGGCCAGCATCATTCTACCTACTTCGTGTGAGCCCAGGTCATCCTGGACTTGCCCTAGCCCTTCACTGGATAGTAGAAGGAGAAACAGCACAGTGATGAGCACATTGATGAGCTCCATCACTCTTTCTCTTCCTATCAGCTTGCTTCTTATTAGCACATGCACTGATTGGTCCTTGCGCTCACATTACAGTCCTGTTGTATGGAGACTGCAAAAGCCTCATACCAGGTCATATTTAGGTACTTAGATTGCTTGGGTTTAAAAAATACATTTAGTAATGTATTAATGGTTACAGTGCTGCGTTAATTAGTAACTTTTTTATCTGTCTAGAGTTCAGCTTTAAAGATGAGAAATAAATACATACAGTAATAGCTGTTAACATAACATCAATTGGGGTTCATTTATTAAAGGGGTGGAAGTTGTTTACTTGGAAAAGTGAATGTTCAGTGAACCTCAAAATAATGTGAAGGTGTGTTCACTTCACCTAATCATTTGCAAGAAAAAAAATCTTTTATATCTTTTCCCCTGTACATCTTCATCTTTTTACTAAGCTCAAAAAAAATTCACTCTGCTAAGTGAGCAGACTTTTCCTTGTAAATCAACCCCATTGAGCCTGATGCATGGTTTCTAAGAACAAACAGGTACAGCACTTGTCTATGTTAATAATTGTTTTAATTTAAAATCAATGGTAAAAAGTAAAGCAGTTTCATTTATGTGTTGTAGTTATTTGTGTTGTAAGATATTTTTTGCCTACATAGTAAAGAACAGCTTGGCATACTTGCAAAGTAACAAAGAAGACAGGAACACTCTTGAGATATAGGGATTCACTAATTAGTGGTGTAGAAATACAGGTAGCACTTACGACACATTACACCCCCAGGGATTCCAGTGAGCTTCTCTGCAACCTTAGTACATCATGTAGACTTATGGCTGCCTTTCTAGATTTCTTTTCATCCCTTGAAGGCTACATTAGCTTTCTTAGCAATTGTTTATGCTCAGCTCTGTTTCCCACAGAGGAAGAGGGTAGTGCTGTTTGCAACATTCATTGAACTCTATAGAGAGCACCGCTGTCTTTCTACAAGGGAGCTATGCATCAGCGGTCTATTTAACTCAGTACATGGAGTCTTTTGACTTGTTACTTGTGGCACAGACTTATAACCTCCATATAAATAGGCAAGAAATTGAATGTGAATTATTCCTAGGCATGAATTGACTTAACTCACCATCTGCTTATAACCAAAATACCAGTTTTGGTTGGACTCACACTTTAAAGTAAATATCTCTCATAATAAATTGTAAATTAATATAGCAAAACACTATCAATACAATGCAAATATGGTGAAGAAACAGAAAATATTCAGGACCATATCCTAGGCTTTACTGAATTGAGAGAGCTGCCACCCTAAACTGGCTTTTTCCATCTGGATGCTAAGAGAAGTAAATACATGTTTTCTGATTCCGGGCCACAGTAGACTAATCATGGAAGTGGGGCTGCTCACCTTATCAGCTAATCTTTTTTGTTTACAAACGTTTTTATTAATAGCACCATTTAGTGAGGTAGAGTAAACCGCTTGAAAAAAAGCATATATACGAAATGAACAGAAGTACAAAGTACAATCATGAAAGTACAAAAAAAACAGTAGATAAAAGAAGTAGTCAATAATATCGGCAGAACAACCACAAGAACAATAAAAGGTTTGATGCAAAACAACCCATGATAGACCATCAATCGAATAATAAGTGTCAATGCGTTCTCCAACCATCCCAATTTCCTGTTGAATAAATGCATCCTATCCAGCAATGTATAATGAATACGTTCCATAAGCATAACCATATCAACTCACCGTAAGACAGCGGCCAAAGGGACCACTGGAGACTTCCAATAAAGGGCAATGGCCCATAGGGTGGAATTGCAGATAGTGTGAATTAGCCGCATTTAGTTAACTGGGATCCCCGAAAGTGATACACCCAATAAGCAAATTTGCAAGGATAAATCCACCGGAGAAACTGCCAAAGCGGAAGCCACCTCTGAAATCCTAGGCCAGATCAAGGAAAGACCAGGGCAAGCCCAAAATACATCTACGAGGGTACCAGCCAAGCCACACCCCCTAAAGCAAAGGTGCAATGTTCCCGGAAACATGACATGAAGTCTAGAGGGGGTATAGTACCAGCGAGTTAAAACCTTGAGGGCCGTCTCATGAACCGAAAGAGATCTAGAGCCCTTCTGTATATCCTCCACCATATAAACCCAGTCCTCATCGGAGAACATAACCCCACACTCACCTTATCAGCTAATCTTAAGCTTGCCATGCACATTAAAA